TCCGGTGTTTTGTGACGTCCCAGGACTTGGATCTTCTTACGGATTTCCGCTTCGGAAGGTGATTCTGTTGAGGCAGACCATGGGACGTATGCCTGGCGCTACAGACCAGTGAAACTGTACTTTAAAGTCCTCCACCNGAAAGACGTCTCTGTTGGTTGTGAATAAGCGAGCCGTCAGCTTCGTAGATCGTTTCGCTAAATCCGAAATCTTTCCTACCGCTGACTTGAATGAGATAGAACAGTTTACGTGAAGTTCTCGTGACGGCAGCACGTTCCATTTCTGATGCGTGTTGAGACCACCAAATTTCGCGATCTCTGCGTAGGCTCAAGTTGAACTCATATATCATTGCAAGACGAGCTACGTTATGTTCGCTATTGGTCGGAATTGACTGGAGTGCGTCGAGAAGGCGCAGAGACTCAGCAAAAATCTACGGTGTCGCGGCACGCGGTGTCATACCGTAACTAACTAAGCCAGTAGACTGCAGAGCGTTCTTGACAAGCTGACTGATGTTATCAGGTGGGGCTGGTTCTAGCTTTTTAGCTATCGCATTCTGAAAAACGGTTAGGCATGATGGTTGAGGCAACTTATCGCGGCCTAACCGTCGCTGTGTCGTGCGTTTACAACGCGATGTTCGCCGAAAAACTTAGGAGATGAAATAAATCCAATAAAGCCTAAGACCTGGCATGAGGTCTGGAAAAATCTAACCAGGACACTGGGCCAGATAGATCGCTTCAGGCTCTCAGGATGGGGATCCCGAGATCATGGTCACCGGTGGCTAGAGAAGCTGAGTGACATGGCTGAGTGTCCCCAATGTTGGCGCTCGTGCATCTACTCATTATTCTTGCAACCGTAGTTGATACTAATTTGCTATCTTCCCTTTTACTCCGCTAACATCATTCCAATCTTCATTCTGCTCTTTTATCCGAATAGGTGACCAAAAGACAGCAACCAAAATCGGAGGACGAAAGGGCATGATGAATGGTTGTAAAAACCGAAACTTAGAAAATATGACTTCTCATGGGTGCGACAAAGCGGGAGACTAAAGGTATGTAGAATCTATTTGTGTCCACAAACAGATTCCGGACACGATATGCGCGAAATACGTTTAAACATAGTCAGGAAAGATGAGGAACTCAATTTTCGGGAAAAATTAGTTCTCAAGAAATACTGACGCAGTTATTGAAAGAGGGCTAGTGGGTTGACATATGCACTAAGTAATAATGAATACTAAACAAGCAATAAAGATATAAAGTAAGGACTTTACTGGCGGTTGGGTGTGCGCCAAAAAGGTAGACTATTCTGTGAACTAAACACGGCTATGCTGTCACGCCTTAGTAGACTGAAATTCCTTGGTAAATTAGTTCCGGTAGCTATACGCACGATATGGGCAGAACACGGCTACGGGCAGCAGAACAAAGTCCAATATAGTAGCAATNGCAGTGGTAATCGTGGTTCTAAAAGCATACAGTAATGATAAAGCATAAAAAGTAACTTACAGCCAGGTGAGCAACCAAATTACGGGGCAGCAGTAACAGTTCGTGACACCAATGATAGGAAAAAGGTCTACCCGGCAGACAGTCAAGCGTAACAGTAGCGCAGCAGTGAAATTCAAATCGGAAGAGATTGCGTTACAGTACGGAAAAATCTTGCAATACATTTTAGTTCCGGAATAAAGCGAAAGAGGAGTAAATTACAGTGGATTGGGGTGAAATGCAGTAAATGCTGGAAAGTTAGGATGCAATACAAAGAAGCAGTGGTAATCAAAGGTATGCGTATCAGAGGGTAGCATAGACAAAGACAGTAAACATTCAGCCAGAAAGTGTGTGGTTCAGGGTGTCGTGTGTGCCAACCGGGGGATGGGCTGCGGTTCGAGCCCCGCTGGTGACCTGACTTTGCTCGCAGAACAAGCGATCAGAAAAGTTTTATGCCAATGGGAAAACGCAACCTTATGAATACATAGGTAGAAATCACAGCATTAAATGTCCAGTAAATTTTCTGTCAGAATATATAAATTTCATCAATATACACGCCGTAGAATGCAAGATACACGAAAGTGTAACTGTTGGGAAAATAAATACTGTACACTACTCATGAGTAGTCTAGTGGATACAGAGAAAGAAACATCTAATTACGAACAGTAATTAACAACGGCGTTGGGCCAAGGTAAAAAGGGATGAGTAGTGACTTACCAGGACCGACAGCTCCGGACACTTTAGGTTGACGACTGCGTACACGTTGAGTTAGTTTTTCCACATCAATAGCCTCGGCCAAAGCTTCCTCGAATTCTGTTTGCCACCTGTGGATCAACTCAGCAACGACTTCAGGGAGCATACCAAAGTGTTGAAAAACCTGTAAGCAATGCAATCAAAATTTCATGGGGGAAAAACCACAGTGTATGGACAAGAAAACTATACTTCCAGTAATCAACGCCTTAGACACGATTAGAAAGTGAAGATTCAAATTAACGAAAAGATGCTGTTAAGATATTAGAACACACATGCACATGCACATGTACATCGGCGAAAAAAATTATTATGAGTGAAACACAAAAGTAGTCGGGACTGTTGATTGCTTTGATGAATACGTTTGGTCTACTTATTAGACGTCAGCTCACAGTGAAATGAATGAGCTTCATGACCGTTACTCTAGACCACTCGCTTCAACCGCCAACCAGTTCCAAGCGCGTTGACTGCACTTGGATAGAGTTTACTCAGACACATGTACAACCTGCAATCGAGTTAAGCTACTGTTGTAGTAAGCAACCTCAGTCACTCAGCACCTTCAATCAAACCGTGGCACAACAGAGGTTGTAGTTCTGGTCATATTGTTGGGAAGATATTTGAACATTGATATTATTCCTATAGTACACCCAAATCGTTCGTTACGGTCGTACTGGGAACTGGCGGAATCACTGCGGCATGAGCTCGATAGCATACGAAAACACAGATGTTCGCAAGAAGTCCACAGCACGGGTTCATAGACCAACATCAATGTGCAGTCAGAAGAGGCGATAAGGCCATAAAATGTACCAGTCATTTGAGATCTGTTACGGCTATAGCGACAATGTTTATTGCTGGACAAACTAGAGTGTACAAAGACACTTATTTTATCTCAAACTCCCCTGGCCAGGGGAAGAGAAAATCGCTTGTTCACACGACCATGACGTAACAGCTTTGTTTACATGATCCTAGCTGCGTATAAATTTTGAGTTCTCTTGGGCTCATTGCTAAACACATGACTCATCCATCTTTCTGTTTCACCGTATTGAAAATGTTTCATATAAATGTGATTGTAAAGGCTTGAAAAGAAATTCACCGAAAACATGTTCACCTAAATAGTGTTTTTATTTATTTTTATTGTAAACCATTGGCAAACTGTGAAGGCCTCTATGCATCGATAAGGCGAACAACTTCCAAAATTATGACCTCAGTTGCTGACAGAGTTCCACAAGGATCCAGACTTGCTCACCACTCAACTTTATAAACTACCCACCGGTTGTTCTGGGACTACAAAAAGAGCCGTCTACATGTGTTAAAATGTGGAGTGATACAACCAGAGGGTTTACAAGCACTTTATTCTCTCAATATGATTCACGTTTGCGAGTGGTTCAACAGGGCGAAAGTAAACATAACAGGCGGATATCAACCTTCTTTTCACTGAAAATTCTGTCCACATTGGATGAATAAAAAGCACCCTTGATTTGACTTGCCCACGTTGTTCACTTCGCAAATTCTGTTTTAAATTAAGACCGTAACATCGTTTGCCAAACATTCGTAGAATGTCTATGCATTTTATTCGCTTGGTTGCGATCTCTTCAATCAACGCCATTCTCGTTGTTACCTGGGACTTGATGCCAAGAATTTTATTTCCAAATAATTTTAGAATAAGACGCAATTGCCTTTTAGCACTGGTGAAACGTAGAAATATGGTGGCTTTCCATTGATTCTGGTAGCCTATGTCAACCGGCAGATAGATTCGGCAAAGCTTTCCACTCATAGTGACTTGTCTGAACTCGCCATTGACGATCACAGCATTCCCAAAGCTGACATGTACGATTCGGCACTACCACAGAATCTTTCTTGACCTAAACATGTTAAAAAGGTGTTTGCACTAAGGTTTGTTGATTGTACTTTTGTGCTTTTATATTTAAGAAGTATGCTGCTTTCCCAGATGTAATCTCTAACACTGTGACTGAATGCATTCTCGCTGATTGAGTATATTGTTCACGCATTTTCCCACTCTAAAAATAGCTTCAAAATCTTGGAATGCCTTAGTTGAGTTTATTCTTTGTATAATGAGACCTGAGGTCGACTGACCAACTAAGATTGAAAAGATCATTCATTATCCACATATTGATCTAACGGAAAGTTTCCCATCGCCCATTTCTCTATTTCTCCGGTAGTCTTTGTACGGCAACGAAAGTTGACTGTACACCCATACATTCAAAAGACAAAATAGGAGACAAAAAATTCATATATTCACTCAGTTCCAATTTGAATTTCTGTTAGTAATCAACATCACAGCAACAGCACGCTTCGTTTTTTTGCTTGAATTTTAAAAAAACTGGACACCCATCATCATGAATCTTAGGAAACGCCTTCCACGCAAGTCACTATATTTTCCGAAAGTTATTATTCCTTTTAGCCTTGTTTAATTGTATGAAGTCTTTTTCCACTATTTAATTTGAAACTGATGAAAATTCACCACATGAGTGCATTTAACCAATTTCAAATTGACTATATTTGAAGATACATAGAAGCGCAACATATAAGCAGCGGACCCCCGGTGACCGAAATAAGAGCTATTGCCACGTGCGTACAACACCATCATTCATGGACCCATTATTCTACCAGCATTTGTCTAGCTTGTGCAATGAGGACTCGCGAAACGCCTGGCACCTGTGATGAAAATATCATAGGTATTACACAAAGGCCACTTTCAAAACATAAAGGATGTGAATATCATTAGAACAGTAACGGAAACGGCTTTATACAATTTGATTATACCTGCAAACCTAGACCAAGTTGAACTTGGTCTGCTAACTCGTAAGACGCGTTGATCAAACCCCAAGCTTGGTTGATCATATCTTCGCGACTTTGATCCATGGTGCGTTTATATGACTCCAGTACATGAATACCCTTCCAATCCATTGTAGTGAAAAGATAATTCATCTCGTTCAGGTAAGCAGACAACTTGGACAAATCTGTAGTTCTTGCTAAGAGAGAAAGGAAGGTGGTTAGAAACGTGCCAACAATAAACCTGCCTTGAACACGTTTCACCAACAAGGCGATTCGAGAGATCTTTCGCAGAATTTCGGCAGTCAACTGCAAGTGTCTGAAACGGGTGATGTGCTCTTGTAATACGTCATAGGGGATTTGAACTTTGCGTTTGACTTTATCCATAGAACTGGACAGGTTTGAGATTTTTTCTTCAGTCAACTGCAGTACATTGTGCAAATTATCGATTTCAGTGGCCTTTTTGAGCAAGTCTTGGTGGTGACTGGCAACGTGATGGTAAATACCAACGTCCAGACTGAAACCAAAAAAATGGAACACACAACAAAATGATAACAAAATTCCAACCATAACAACTATTTAACAATAATTTAACCAATTTATTTACTTACCGAATATATTCTAGTATGGTTATCGGAAAAGGACTGCGCACAGTCTCAGGTTACCTGGGGACGTACAGACGTAACTAAGACAGAAGGCGGTGGCGAGATTTGAACCCATGATATCAGGGCGGTCATAATGATTTTACCAGCCTGGTATTAGTGTTAGCAGATATTATCATCTATAATCTTAATTTTTCACAATTTGTATCTTTATGTGTGATAAAAATTTAATCTCAGAAGACAATGAAAGATTTGGAAACAAAGTGCACGTCGCAGTGAGCAGGCAAAGAGAAGAGCCTGATTGGTCAGAGTCACGAAAACTGATACACCTATACAGAACAACAGTAATGATAGCATACAATTTAATCCCAATTGACATGTGGAAAATGTGAGCACAAAGCGAACACAATGAATAAGATGAAGAACTGTAATCGAAAAAAAACAGTTTCGGACGGCTTTATCAATAATCACTCACCTTTGACGTTATTAACTTAATGAGTCCGATACATGTACATGTGCGAACTGTGATCTGATCGTCCATCACTGTGAAATGTTTCAGCCACCTTTATGATAACAAATGTTTCTTTTTCCTGAAAATTTTGGTTATAATTTCATAAAACATCGGTGATGCGCATCCAACCAAAATTTGTCTTAGAAAATTGCCACATCTCCACAGGGCTTAGAGGACCACTGTTTTCTTTTATTTTCTTCCTATTTTCTCTGTCTCATTCATCATGACAGTTGCAGGTGCGCACTCTGATGATACGGCTCTGGTGATTGGTGTAACGACCGTAACTGTTTTGGTTTCTTACACGTGGAACGACTGTTACCTCTGCATCGGCTTCTCTACTTCCGCTTCCAAATTTTCCTGAGTGAATTGCCAAAGTATGCACTTATCTATTTAAAAAAATCTCCAGAAGCGATAAACTTCTTTCGACAAAATGGTTGAGGTGTTTGGTGGGATAATGATGCAGAGAAATTGAGATGCACGAAAGACACTGTTTACGACACCCAGCCATATCACTCAATGTCTCTAACCACTGGCTACGACTATCCCGAGATCCCCAGCCAGAGACCTGACCTCAGCATTGCTCGTCCGGCTGCCCCACCAAATCTGTACAATGCTGCGTAGACAGCGATGTTCAAACACCGGCAATCTATCTACGTCCTGTTT